GGGGGGGGGGGGGGTGAGTCAGGACTGGAACGCCCGGCAGGATCCTTGGGAGGCTCTGGGATCCACCGTCTACCTGGACAAGTGGGGGCGGGGGGCTGGTCTGGCCAGGCCGGGGGGAGGCTTCGGGGGCTGGTGGGCGCAGACAGGGCTCTTCCAGCCTGGTGGGACCGGGAAGGTCTGGGGGCCTCCACAGGGAGCCTCCACCCGCATCTGGCCCCTCCACCACGGGAGAGGATGGTCAGGCGCTGGGAAGGCCAACCAGGGCAGGACTAGCCACTGGGGTCTCAAGTGGGCTCACGGGACCCTCCGTGGGGGGACGGAGGCTCTGGAGGAGGTGAGCCACTCTGGGCCGCCGTGCCTGATATTCTGATGTTGCTGCATCTGGGGCCCCACAGAGCGGCTGAGAGAGGGGAAGGGCCAGCTCCAGTGCAGGCTCACTCTGGTGGGGAGGGAGGCTGAGGACTTGGAGGCCCCACCCCAGGGCCCCGTGACAGCACAGGACAAGGTCTGGCTGGTTTCACCCGGCTCCTGGCTGGGCCCAGGCAGTGGGCAGGCTGGCACGCTTTCCGGCACAGCCCTGCTTTCCCCGCGGAGAGCTGGCAGGAGACTCAGCGGCCAGAACTGTGCAGAGTGGAGGGGGCCGACGGGACACCAAGCCCACGGGAGGCCGCAACAGACCCAGAAGGAGCCGGGGGTGATGGAGTTCTCTGGCCGGCCGGCTGAGTGTGGGCAGTGCACAGAGGCTGGGGGAGGAAGCGGAGCTGCAGGGCTGCCTCCCCGCACCTCACACCGGGCCCCTCCCACCGCACACACGTGCAGGAGGCGGGTGGGCCCTCAGCCCCGGAAGCGGGAGCCCCCCACGGACAGGTACTGTGAGACCCACGGCAAATCCCGCCGGCCCCCCCTCCCACACTACCCAGGCCTCTGGGCCTCCTGGGCGTGTCCCCAAGGACTTCAGGCAGCCTCGAGCCCCATCAAAGTGTTCTCTGAGCTGGATGGGTCCCTCCTCCTCAGAGCGAAGGAAAGAAGCGGTGATGGCGGTGAGGCCTCACGCCGCGCCCACAGGTTGGAGTGAGGGCCGCCCACCCAATAGGGCTCTCCTTGTCTGGCCCTCTGAAAGCCAGCGCAGTCCTCCAACTCGGACTGCTCCAGGTCACAGCCAAACAAGACACACTGGCAGCCCCTGAGAACACAGAGGGGCCGTGCCAGGCATTCAGGCCAGGCCAAGGGCGGCAGGAGCGGGCCTGAGGTCTGGCAGGCCCTGGGAGCTCGCCTGCAGATGTGCGGCCCGCAGCTGCCAAGTCGCAGATGCCGGACGCCTGACGCTGTTCCGCAGCCTCGGCCCGGGTGTCTGGCCCCTCTGAGCAGCCCAACCTGAACCCGGACGCGCGTGCCATCTTCCATGCCTACCGGCCGTCCCTGGGACTGTGGGGCGCGCTTCCCCCTCCCCTCTGTCCGCCAAAGCCCTTGAGGTCCAGCTTCTACTAGCGGGCCAGAGGCAGGGCCGCTGCCCAGAGCTCTGCTCTGCAAGCCGACACGCGGCTGCTCGCCGCCTCCCTCCCGGGCCCCGAGAGAGGAGACAGTGCACCATCCGTGGGTCTCCTGAGGCTTACGCGCGTTGGGGTCGTGGCTGCAGGGGGTGAGGTGGGCCCTGAGCCCCGCCCCATCGATGTCTGCTCGCCAGCCACCCCGAGCCCACCGCCATGGCCTCAGCACGCCTTCCAGCTACGAGGGGAGCAGACATCCAGGCATGGCTGGCCAGGGTGCTCCTCCCTGCTGGGGTCTTGGCACTGCTGAAGTGACCGGACAGAGCTGGGTCCTGTGCCCCTGCAGCCTTCAGGGACAGACTTGACCTGGATGTGGGCGTCGGAGGCCAACAGGGAGCCAGCCCGTCTGCTGCAGAGCGCTGGCACCGGGGAAGTGGCTAGGCGGCCGGTGCTGACCAGGCCAGACGTCTCTCCCCACAGCCTTGAGGACAGCCATCACTTCCACCCCCAGCCTGCTGGGAAACCTCTGGAAGGCAGGCGGTTCCAGTGCCGGCCTTCTGCCGTGCCTGAGTCAGGCGGCAGATGAGCCAGGTCAGCTGGGGGTCCTGGGCTGCTGGGTGCCCTGCCCCCCCGCACCCCCGAAGGCTCGCTGCAGAAACCCTGAGGGAGGGGGAGGGTGTTCTATCCCTTCCCAGGGTGGGACAGGGCACTCAAGTGATTTCTTAGCACAGCCCTCCTGAGGACCAGCAGGAAGTGCCATCTCTACCACTGGATGAATGGGTGAACTGAGGCTCAGAGTCTGCCTGAAACTCTTGCCCAAGGCCACACTGTGAGGAAATGGTAAAGGGGGCACACGTGCCTTGCCCCACCCTCTGCCCCCGCAGACTTTGCTGCAGAGCCCGAGGTCACAGAATCCCAAGCTCCCTGGGTTGCACAGGGGGCCGAACCAGCCCCCGGTCCCTGCAGAAAACTCCTTGCATCTCCCGCACTCTGGCTGGGAGGTGACACTGACGGAAAGCAGGGCCCTGCCCTGTGGGTCCTGCACCCCCTGGCTTGCATCACGAATCCTCTAGAAACATGGCGTCTCTCTCTGACTGCCACCATCCATAGCTCCCCTCAGCCCGCGGGGCCAGATGCCCCTCCTCGGCCCCAGCGCACCCATCAGGCCAGCCCCAGCCCCTCTGCCTCCGCCTCCAGCTGCACAGAAGTGGCCCGGAAAAGCCATCATCCCAGCCTGGCCCGGGAGGTTCCCCCAAGCATTTTAGGTCCCAGCAGGTGCCAGACCCCACAGGGAGATGCTCTCAGCCTGGTTCCCAGAGCCTGAGGTCCTGTCTGCCTTTTGCTCCCTCACTGAGCCAGGGACTCTGGCTGGGGTGGACGTAGCCCTCTCTAGCTAGCCTAGGAGGTCGCCGGACCTGTCATCTGTCTCCAGGGACAGGGCTGCCAGAGCCAGACCCTGTCTGCCCTCTGCCCCTCTCCTTCAGGTCCTAGTTTTGTTCCCCAAATCGCCGATCCCATGGCCACTCGGGCCTCTGACTGCTGTGTCCCTCCTGGCCATCTGAGCCACCCAGAGGCAGCTGGTGGGGGAGAAGCAGGGGCCGCTTCAGAGTCGCATGGAGCCTGGGACCTCCCCCAGCCCGCTGCCCCTTGTCCTGCAGCTCTGCTCCAGGCTGGGGTTTCTGCCGAGTTTGGCCTTCAGACGCCGTGGGTCACGAGAGCTGGCTGTGAGGAGGCCGGGTAGAGCCCCAGTCCCCTAAACCTGAACGATGTGTCACCATGGGGAGGGGCAGGCGTGAGTCGTCTGAGTCCCTGGCACCTCCACTGGGCTTGGGAACGTCAGCGATGCCAGCCTGCCAATGAGTGCGAGCTGGGCTGCTCTGAGGACTCCTATGGGGGCCGAGCAGCCTCTGGAGGAGCTGAGGCTCGTGGCGTGTGGGCAAGTGCGCAGCTCCCATAGGCACCCAGGAGCTGCCCCACCCCAGAGTAGAGAGGGTGGGGGACAAGCCAAACAGAGTCCCAGAGGGCGTGAAGGAAGCCCTGGGGGACCCTGCGGCTGGGGACTCCAGGTGAGGGGAGGGCTTTCACCCCAGAATCTTCCATCTGGAAGGTGGGGAGATGAACCACAGCCCCAGGGAGCACTGGGAAGCTGGTTTTGGAAGCCTGGAGAAGGGCCTGGCTCTAGGGCTACCGGTTAGCCTAGGAAAGGTTTTGTGGGCGGCCAGGCGTGGCCCAGCACGTGCGCAGGGGGCACAGACGGGGTGGGAGAAGAACCGAGTGCCCCGCGCGCCAGCCGACAGGACAGGAGGGGGCAGAGCTGGCAGGGCCTGGGGGTGCCCGCCTCCAGAGGGGGCCCGCGCTCACCCCCACCCCAGGCTCACGGCAGGGTGCCCCAGGACAGTCACCATCGCCCTCCAGCCCCAGGATCTGAGCTAAGCCCTTGGGCTGGTGTGTCCCCTGCCACCAGCAGGGCCGACAGGCACGGGGAAGGGTGGGCAGCCCAGGGCAGGGACCAAGCTCCCCAGCCCTGGGGAAGAACTTTCTAACAATCCAGGGTGCTGGCAGGGAAGGAGAGGGGCCCCAGACATGCCACTGAAAGGACAAACAGCCCAGTGGCCTAGCAGGTAGGGCTTTGGAGGCCCTGGAGCTGGGACTGGGGCCGTGCCCGAGGCGAGCCAGACAGCGCCGGGCCCTACAGGGAGTCTGGGAGCTGGGCTGCTGCCCGCCCACAGCTCACGTGCTCCAAGGGTGGCCCTGGGGGCCGGCCACGGCCTCAGGCTGCATCCCCAGGTGGCCAAGGACAAGTGATGGCTGGGACAGGCCTGTCTCCTTGGGGCTTCTCCAGGGAGTGGAGGAGGGCTGGTGGTGGGTGGGCCTGGGAAGAGGCTCATGACAGATCCCTCCTCTGGGACTCAACGCCGCTGGCGCGCTGGAAGGGAGGTTCTGTGGTCCTGAATGACTAAGGAATGTTGCTAAAGAAAGGAAATGCTTTCTTGTCTTACGAGAACACACCCTCTCTTCCGGTCCTTTCCCATTCACGCTCTTCTGATGGGCCAGGGCCACTGATGGGATTGGGGAGGAATTGGGGCCAATGCTTGCATGTCACCCTGCATGACGGTCAGAGGGCCAGCACCCCACATTTCTGGGCTCCTAAAATGAGCTGGTACAGAACTGCCACCAGACCCATTGGTGAAGGGGCTGGGCCGCAGACTCCCCATCGACATAGTGGGGTCCCTGGTCCCTGCTCCAGGGCAGGGCATAAAAGCGGTCGGACGGTTAATGCCCTCTGTGAGCCAGGCCCTGGGACGTGAAGGTGGGCTGGCCACTGCCTCGCCGTGGGGGCCCTCCCTGCTCCCAGCCTCTTCTTCCCGCCGCCCGGTCTTGGCGGCTCGGAGACGGTGCTATGGCTTCCTTCCGATGCACGCACAGAGGACCGCCCTCAGAGGCTCGCCCACGCTGGCCCATGGCAGCCGGACACCGGAAGGCGCACAGAAAGGCGCCTCTGCCGAACCGCCAGCCTTCCCTGGGTGTGGGTGGCGGTGGTGGCCATGCACTCTCCCTACTCACCATCCCGCAGCCCTGGCTGCGCATTCCTGGGCACCTTCCTTGCTGGCACCGAGGGGGGCCTGAGCATCCCCGGCTGGTCTCAGTCTCAGTCAGTCCCTACCTCGTGGAGAGCTGGCTGGCCAGGGAGGGGTTAGCGCACAGAAGCATGAGCCCCCAGAGGGCAGGACTGGCCACCGAATCGGCAACCTGAGTGGCCCTTACGAAGACTTCAGCTGCGTGAGAACAATCTCCCTGGCCTGAGCGAGGTCTGCCTTGCCCGCCCCACCCAGCACCCTGCCCTGGAGGACCCCGGGCCTTCTGCTGCACTCAGCGGAGCAACTCGGGAAGCTCTCACCACCGAGTGCCCAGGCCCCAGCCCCGCCCCACCCGTGCAGCAGCGAGGTGCTGTTCCCATCCCCCAGCCTTCCAGGATACTCAGTGGCACACCCAGAGGGCTCCGATCTCCCTTGTTCCTCTCCTGGGTCCCTCGGCAGTTCCCTCAGCATGCCAGCCATCTTGAGAGCTTGCGGGATGGGGCCAGTGGGCCTGCCCCCTCTCACTCCAATCCCCATGCACTGCACTTGACCATAAGCTATCATCGTCAACATGCAAGTGACTTTGTGGGCTCCCTGGATGCTATGGGGTCAATAGCCGGGGTTTGTCAGTCAGGAACTCTGAGTCCTGGCCCAAGTTCTGCCCCTGACTGGCTGTGCCACTGTGGGCAGGCTCCTGCCCCTCTCTGGGCCTCAGTTGCCCGCTCTGTACAATGGATGGGGTGGGAGTGGGACCAGCAGGGGCCACGCCTCCCCTCCCAAACGGCTCTGGAGGGCAACCTTGTCGCTACACTTTGTTTCAGAACTGGAGTTCTCTCTCCATTCCTGAGATGCCCCCAGGCACCAGTGGGGGGGCGGCCTTTGGGGGACAGAGCATCTAGCCTGGGAGCTCTTGAACCTCACCCCTTCCTAAAGGTGCCCATCCTGGGATGATGGTGTCCTCACATCTACCCGTGGTCCCCAGAAGCCCTCCAGGGCCCCAGGCCAAGCCTGCCTGGCTAACACAGCACAGTTGCCTGAGTTTCCTTCTGCACCCCGCTTTGGAACCTCAATCCAAGGGGGCTCTGGGGCAGAGAGGACTGAGCTGTCCAGGCAGCCCCGCCCGGGGACCCCCCAGCCAGGACTCTGTGGACCCACACCTCGCCCAGGAGGAGGTGGGGGCATGGCATTAGCCTGTGGGTAAGCAAGGAATATCTGGGCAGGGTGCCTGGGCTGTGCCTGGGAAACCAAGTCTCTGAGCCCACGCCGTGGACTAGCCCCAGGCCGTGGGGACCGCTCCCCAGTGACGAGCTTGGGCGGGCGCCCAGAGGTCCTCCTAACCAGGGCCGAGTGCAAAGTGCACCCGGGACTTGCAGTGAACTAAGGGGGCCGTTGGCAGAGCGAGGGTGCCAGCCGCCCAGCCATGCCTGGATGACGCTCTGGGGTAGCGGCCAAGGGGAAGAACCCCGAGGCGGGAGGCAGAGAGGGCAGATGTGGAGCAGAGCTGAGCAAGGTCAGAGGGGTGAAGGAAGGGGATGTAGAAGGTGCCTGGAGGACAGCGGGGAGAAGACGCAGAAATGGGACAAGGACCCAGGGGGCCGCAGGGTGGCGACGAAGGGGCGCGGACCAGGAGCCTGCAGCCGTGCAGTGGGAATCCACAGGCAGCCTAGAGGCGGGAGAGGGCGGTGAGGGGGCAGTGGACCTAGGGGTGAGGCAGTGAGAGCAGCTCAGGGCCAGCTTAGGAGCAGCGGGGACACTACGGGGCTTGTGGAGGGGGGGGATCCTACCTGAGGAGGGGAAGCGGCGGGCACAGGCTGGCTGGTTGGCAGTCTTGAGGGTCAGGCAGTCCGTGCGTCTGTCGGTCCGTCGGGTCGTCGGAGAGCAGCTGCTCACTCCTGGGCAGTTCGTGGAGAGAGGGAGACAGAGGCGGTGGCAGCGGCGGGAGGGAGGCTAAAGGCTGGGCGGGCGGGCCGACGACGGGAGGGGACGGCGGGGAGGGGGCGGGGAGGGAGGAAAGGAGGGAGGGGGCTGGTGGCGTGGAAAGGGGGGGAGAGAGGGAGGGAGAGGGGGAGAGAGAGAGAGAGAGAGAGAGAGAGAAGGTAGAAGGGAAGAGAGGAAAGAAGGTGGCATTTATCTGTCTCCCATCATACCCTGCCCCCCCCCTAGCCCTATGGCAAGCAGCTGTGCATGTATTGCAGGAACAACCTGCACATAACTTGCAGGAGCCAGGGTTGGCCAGAAAAAAAAAAGGCGGGGGGGGGGGGGGAGGGAGAGAGGGAGGGAGGGGGCAGGCTTCCCGGCCCCCCTGGCAGCTTCAGAGGGAGTAATTTTCTTGTAGGCGGCTGGGCTAGCTGCACCCCTCCCCCTTGCGCCCCCCAGGACTCCCCCCACTCTGCCTGCCCCCCCTCTGCACCCTGGGGCACACAGTGAAGGGACACACAGTCTAACTCAGACCCTTGGCGGCTCTGGGCAGGCGCAGCCTCAGAGATTCAAACTTTCCACTATCCAGATGGGGCCACTGAGGCCCAGAGAGGGGCGGGAGCTGGCTTGCGGGTGTTAGGGCGGGCGGGGGAGAGGGAGAGGGCAGAAATGGAGGGGAGACCAGGGGCAGGTGGCCTCTGATTGCTAGTCCAGTGACGGGGCCCCGGAATTTGGTCCTGAGCCTTCCCAGAACTTGTGGCAGCCTCAGCCTGGAAAGGGATCAGGGTGGCAGCTGTTGTGGATTTCTGGAAGGGCTTGATCTAGGCTCCGGGGCACTCCGGGTGCCCCACCTCCCAGCCCACTGCAGCCTCTTTTCCCTAAAAAAGAGGAAGCGGTCCTGTCTGTGTGATCTCAGGATGGGACTCAGCTGGGGGTTGGCAGGATGCAGCACAGATACTGGGGGTCCTCCCCAGCTTGCCTGCCCCAAGCTGAGGCTCAGAGAAACTGATTCAGAGAGGAGGAGCCAGCGAGTCATCCTTGCTCCATCTGAGCAGGTCCCCTAGGGTGCAATAACTGCTCTGAGGGTGGCCACTTCCTCGGGGCTGAGCCCTGTGCTGGCCACTTACAGGGGTAACTGGGTCAGCCCACCAAGCATCCCAGGAAGAGGCTGTCATCAGCCATGACATCCACGCCATCACTGGAGGCTCAGCCACTTCCTGGGGGCCCAGATGAGCCCAGGGCCATAGCACGACACCTCCTTCCTGTTGGGTGGGGTCCCATTCCTCCCCCGGCCCGTGTACCCAGCCTCAGTCATGGGGAGACTCCTGCAAGAGACAAACGTGAGGGTTTAGGTGGGGCGAGAAACTGAGGCAGGGAGCGACACTGAGATCTGCAAAGGAGAATAGGGAAGAAACGAAGGCAGGCAACACGAGACAGGACAGAACTCCACTGAGAGGAAAAGAAAGATGCATAGAAAGAGAAGGGGCTCAACAGGGCAGAGGCCGAGGGCAGGCCAGGGAGAGGCGGGGCAATGAAAGGAGAACAGGGGTGAGGTCTGAGGGTCCCGTGCACCCGGCCAGCTGTTGTTTAGTATTTTGGTGCTCAGCTTCAGGCCATCAGGCAGGTAAGGGTCTAGAAAGTTCTGCCAGGGGGAGTGGCTGGGCCCAGACCCCTTTTCTGTTCACCAGCATCAGTTCAGGGACCCCTGGTCAGACCTGGGACACAATGGTGGCCTGACCAAGCTGCCTGCCTGCAAGAAGCTTCCAGGCTGGGCCACGGAAAAGGGAGAAGTAAGAAAAGCAGGGCCAGGTCGGGGGCTCCGACTCCTTCTTGTTTTCCTGGGTGAGGCAGTTACAAATGGTTGCGAGCAGGAGATTGGAGAGAACACGTGCCCTTCCAGACACGGGGAGTCGGTTTTGCTTGTTTGTTTGTTTGTTTTTTAGTTTATTGGCGACATATTCAAACATCTCTGGGTCGCCCCACTGAGCTTCAGCATCCCCCGACGCAGCTGGGGAGGAGGAGAAAGAGAGTCCAACCCACGTATAAAACACTGTGCTCCACGAAAGAAGTTAGTTGAAGACGACCACGTATTGCATGACTCTGCATGAAACGTCTAGAACAGGCAAATCTACAGGGACAAAAAGTAGATTCGTGGTTTCTTAGGGCCAGGGGGGATGGTGGTGGATAGAGTGGTGACAGCTAAAGGTATGAGTTTTCTTTTGGACGTGATGAAAATGTGTTAAAATCCACTATGACGATGTTGCACCCTCTGTGAATATACTAAATAAAAACCATTGAACTGTACACATTAAATAGGTGAATTGTATGGTATGTAAATTTTATCTCCATAAAGCTGTTTAAAAAATTTTCAAATGAAAAGAAATGGGCACAAGGCATGCCCATTGCCCAGGGAGCCAAGTCGCTTACTGAGTAAGGTCCCCTCTGTGAGGAGGGGACTGGGGCACGCCAGGGCCACACACAGCACCAGAGGCTCAGGAAGGCTTCCTGGAGGAGGTGGCTTAGAGCAGGCAAGTAGGGGAGAGGGATGGTGTTGGTGGAAGGCAGAGCCCAGGGCCAGGTGTGGAGGGCGTGGGGAGCAGGGACGCAGTGAGGTGGGAAGGCCGAGTGGTGGGCCGGGCACGTTCCTGGAGGGAGCAACTTGCGGGCGGTGGTGAGGCGACACCCTGCGCCTTGGAGCTCTTTCCCGCAGTTGCGGGGTACGTCTGGGGCAATATGTCCGTAAATACGGTTCTTGCGCCTGGAAGGCTCTTGTGTCTGTGGTTTGCAGTCTGCAATAAGCCATAACTGCACACCCGGCCCAAGGCCCACTGAGTCACTGGGCCTGGCCCTCTAATTTGGGGGCCACTCCCAGACCAGCCGGCCGGCACCTCAGTCCTGGGCCTCCCCCTCCCCCTCCCTCTCCCCAGGCCTCAGCTCTCTCTGTGGCTGCAGTGCAGGAACAACCTGGACCCCAGCTTGAGCGGCGCTGAGAACAGCACGTCCCTGCTGGCCAGCAGAGCCGCAGCCTCCTGCCCTCTGGCCTTTCAGGGCTGCGAGGAGGCAGCAGGAGGCAGGGGAGGGCAGGCATGGGGGTCAAGGCAGGAAGGAAGAGCAGGCATTTCCTGAGGCCCCCGGGCCCCTGGAGGAGGCCGATGCACAGCTGTCTTAGCTCCACAAGAACCAGTGGCAGACAGGGCTGGCCGAGAGATTAGAGGTGGGGCCAGGGGGCCGGACGGGGGGCAGCGCCCTCTCCCAGCATGCCCTGTGCCTCTGGGACACCGCTGGACAGGCCCCCAAAGCCCCAGCCTGGACTCTCTTCCCCCCAGGTACTTCGGAGGGCTGGGTGATCCTGCTGGCACCAGCCCGCCCCTCAGCCCAGAAACCCCAGCAGGCCCCTTGGCAGAAGACCCCTCTGCCAGAAGGAGTGAAGACGCGGCTCTCTTGACCTGAGAAGCAGCCTGGTGGCCGGCTCGGGCTTCCCAGGAAAGCGTCCTGCCCCGGGGCCCCACCCCTGCCCCTGCCCGGGTCCTCAGGCCACACTGCTGTGTCCCGGCGCAGAGCAGCCAGCCCTCACCTAGGCCTTGTTGGGCCATTGCGGCCCCTGCCAACACCCCGGTGCCTAGCCCAGAGCCCCAGAGCCCAGGGCAGGCGCTGAAAGGTAGTGGGGCAGGGGTGCGGGGCAGGCAGAAGCCAGCGGTGGTGGGGAGAGAAACGTGCAGGGCGGAAGGGGGCTGAGAGGAGGGGCGGCAGGGCTGGCGAGCAGCTGTGAGTCCACCCCAGGCAGGGCCATCTAAGCCTGTTGCCATCCTGTAGGCCTGTGTGTGGGGAAGGACCCGGAGTCAGCTGCAGCCCGTCCCCCTGGCTTGCAGCTGTTGGTGCCCCGGCTTCAAAGCGAGGAGGGGAGGCCCAGGACAGAAGCAGGGCACCTAGAGGGCAGGCCTCAAGCCTCTGATCCCCTGTGGGCATGAAACCCTGCCTTTGATGCGGGTCCCTGAAGGGCAGAGCCTGGGAGCCTGGGAGGTGGCCCAGTGGGCAGGGCTCCCAGGGGCTCAGAGGGAGCCCCTATAGAGGTGACAGAGATCCCCCCCAACCTGGGCTCCAGCCCACCCAGCTGCTCGGCCCATGAGTTTCTGGGGCCTAGAAAGAGCTGCCTGACCCTGACCTTCAGGGGCCCTCTGCCAGCCCCCTTCCAGGGCCTTCCTGGCCTCCCTGCCCTGCTATGTCTGGCTGGTGCCCTGCTCGCTCCCCTCTGCCTCTGCTCATCACTCCCCCTGTCTGTCTTGGGCTCCCCACTCCTTTCTCAGGTCTCCCCTCTGCGTCGTCTGTCCCTTCCCCGGGCACTGAGTCAATCAGCCTCAACTTCCGCTGGCGCCCTTCGCTCTCCTGGAGCACACCGGATGGGGCGCAGGGGGGAATTCTGGGAGGCAGTGGCGCCCTGGGGCTGCCTTCCGACCCCTCCCTGGAGTGCTGCCACAGGGCTCTTGCACGGCCAGCCCAGAGCAAGGCGTTGCCCACAGGAGCCCCCCCTTCCACCTCCAGGACCAATTTCCAGGCAGGGACACATCACACACATACATCAAGGTCACTTCTTGAGCATATGCCACCCTGCCTAGAACTCAGCTGAGATCCTGGAGAGGGCCCTCGAGGCTCCTAGGCGCTGCAGCCCCTGAACCCAACCTGGAACCCCCGAATTCACGGCCTGCTGGTTTCATCCACCCCCCATCTCTGTACCCTCAGGGGCTGGGCAGGGGCAGGGCAGGGGCTAGGCCCACAGTCACTAGGGGGCCGCCCCTCGCACCTAACTGCTTCCTTGAGGCCAGAGTCATGACATCTTGGAGCCCCAAGGGGCAGCAGGTGTAACATGTTCTCAGGGGACCCTCTGGATGCAGGGGGCCATTCTGGATAAGGATAATGCTAACGGGAGCCGAACGGCTGCGGAGCAGGCGAGCCTCCGCTCTCT